TGAACTTCTTTATATTCATGTAAACAGTGGAGGGCTTAGCTGGCATGAATTTCTTTTTTTCTCTTGTTAACTTATTGAAAAAAATTTTTTTCTGACTTCTTGTTAAGTCCATCAGATCTAAACGTTGTTTCAAACCCAAAAAAGGGCAGGAAAAGTTGATATGTCAAATTCAGTACCTTAACCTATTTTGAATAAAGTATGCCCACACTTGCTTCACCCTTTTACCCGAACAAGACAAACCTATACATTAATAATTAATATATGAAGTTACTTTCGACATATATATTACTTTAACTGTTAGTTGATATTAATGCCATTTAACCGATGACGTGGGTAATGAATAAATAAAAAACAATCGTTAATTGCAGTGAATCTGTATTGTCTATATCTGAAAAAATTAACATAGGTTTATTTACAAAAATATTCGACATATATATTACTTTAACTGTTAGTTGATATTAATGCCATTTAACCGATGACGTGGGTAATGAATAAATAAAAAACAATCGTTAATTGCAGTGAATCTGTATTGTCTATATCTGAAAAAATTAAAATAGGTTTATTTACAAAAATATTCAGCTCATGCTCAATATCCTAAAATTCTTCTCTCCTACTATTCAATGTTACCAAGTCTCACAAGAAAAATAAGCTGCACTGATTTTCAAAATTTGTCTTTTATGGCTTACCATCAAAATGGCGAGTTGCACGGCTTATTAAAAATATGGAATGTGGCGAGTGAGTGGGACAGAAAGTTCACGATTGTGGGTGTGTTTTTTAATTGAATGGGAGTAAGAAAAATGTGTAGGGTATTTATTGACCAAGTCTATCACCGAAACCACTTCTACGACCATTTTACTGTCTATTATTACAAAAAAGCCTTAATAAACGACCTCAAAATATAACAAACCCAAACAAACACCAATCACGAATATAAAAACTTGAATGGAGAACATAGGGAACATACTGAGTCGCATCATAAAGTCTTATATATCAGCTGGAAAATATGGGGGACACTACTGAGTCGCATCATAAAGTCTTATATATCAGCTGGAAAATATGGGGGACATACTGAGTCGCATCATAAAGTCTTATATATCAGTTGGAAAATATGGAGGACACACTGAGTCGCATCATAAAGTCTTATATATCAGCTGGAAAATATGGAGACATACTGAGTCGCATCATAAAGTCTTATATATCAGCTGGAAAATATGGAGGACATTACTGAGTCGCATCATAAAGTCTTACATATCAACTGGAAAACACAGGAAATTTTCCTTTTATAAATTGGTTCAAATCCTACTGATTTAATTAATTCAAGTGGTGCTCAGTAAGTCGTCCATCAATTCTATTATGTTGTCCACTGGTTTCCTGTCTCATGCTTTCCCTCACCCTTCGACCTCCGATAATGTGGACGGTCGAAGACAGAGACATTTAAAACTCCAATGTCGAAGGAAGTAGTCGACTTTCAAGATTCTTGCAATACATGTTTATCAATGTATGTGAAGTTGGTAGTCAAAGTAGAAATACATCCATGTTTCGGAGAGATGGACAGTTACATATTCACATATATCAGAAACTGAGTTATAAAACTGTAAATGTACTTTGCTAATCAAAAATACCACTTGGTAAATGACTTGTAGCTTCATATTTTTAGAACCGCAGTTATATAAAGAACAGAACCAAGATGATCCAGAAGTTGAGATGGACGTTAGTGACAGAATGACGCTCAGGTTTTATCGCCGAAAGGAACTTGACCAGCTAGCATGTAATTGGAATTAAATTTTAATTTAAACTTGTTTCACCCATTACTATATTTTGGTAAGCTAACGGTATGAAATATTCATCTTTAAGCTTCTATTATGAAATAAACGGAAATACTTAGTAGAGCTTGCTTACTAGAGTTAATTAGTAGAGTTTTCTTACTAGAGCTAATTAGTAGAGCTTGCTTACTAGAGTTAATTAGTAGAGTTTTCTTACTAGAGCTAATTAGTAGAGCTTGCTTACTAAAGCTAATTAGTAGATCTTGCTTACTAAAGCTAATTAGTAGAGCTTGTTTACTAAAGCTAATTAGTGGAGCTTGCTTACTAAAGCTAATTAATAGAACTTGCTTACTAAAGCTAATTAGTAGATCTTGCTTACTAAAGCTAGTTAGTGGAGCTTGCTTACTAAAGCTAATTAGTAGATCTTGCTTACTAAAGCTAGTTAGTGGAGCTTGCGTACTAAAGCTAGTTAGTGGAGCTTGCTTACTAAAGCTAATTAGTAGAGTTTTCTTACTAAAGCTAATTAGTAGAGCTTGCTTACTAAAGCTAATTAGTGGAGCTTGCTTACTAAAGCTAATTAGTAGAGTTTTCTTACTAAAGCTAATTAGTAGAGCTTGCTTACTAAAGCTAATTAGTGGAGCTTGCTTACTAAAGCTAATTAGTAGAGCTTGTTTACTAAAGCTAATTAGTAGATCTTGCGGGTTTTTACAGAGAGTTTTGAACTTCCAGAGCAAAAACAGTATAATTATATTTTGTTTGAAGTTTTCCACCCAAAACTCTACCTCCGATGATTCCTCTGTTTTCATTACCAGAAATCAAATGGAATTTGCATTAGAAAGTGATAATGTAACAGTTATATGAAATATTTTATCTAGCATTGTATTGAACATTAGAGAAAAAACACCTTATATACTATATAAGACTATACTGAGTATTTTACACGTTTTTTGTATTCCGTAAAACAGATTACTCCTTCCTCTAAATTGGAGATGATGAAAAACATCTTAAAATACGATCTATTAATGGTTCTTAAAGTGGTTACAACTTAATTTATTGAGTTGACTCGATGTTATTTAAGCTACTGTCTCTAACTAGTTTAGATAAATGTTCTTTTTTCGTATGTGAAATTCACAAAACCCACCCATTTTACTTGTTTCATAGAACTATCATATCCTGAAACTATTGTTGTTATTGTTATTTGTCTTTATTAAACAAGGCACATGCGGTGAGAAAAATATCGGTTACATACAGTAGTATACATCGAAATTGTAAGAACACTATTATGTATAGGTTACTCTATGATTTTCTATTGTACTTTACAGTTTACAATTCCTATCGTTATGTTATCTATCGGGGCCTTCCAGTAGACACGTACTGATTGGGAGGAGGGATTTGTACAGCGAGTGTGACGTTGACTGCCCCAAAAGTATATACAGCATAAATAGAATAAGAAATCCTGAGAGCCGAAACCAAAATAACAGCTCTATATTCTAATAAAAAATGCTTTACTTTTGTATAGTTCATGTCAACTAGGGTGGTCCAACCTTCGACAATAAAGGCACTAGACTCGCAATCAGCAGGTCGCGGGATCGAATCCCGTCACCAAAGATGCTTACCCTTTCAGCTGTGGGAGATATTATTAGATATAATGCGACGATCAAGCCAACTAAAGACTGTTTGTGCATTGTCGTCCCCACTTCTGTAGTGATAGACTAGAGGAAAATCATCTAGTCCATACTACCCACCAAAAACTCTTGGCCTATTCTTCTCCGATTGGATGACGATATTTGATTGGCTCTTTTATAGCACATCCAACGTGCGGAGCACGTTTATGTGGAAATAGGCTGCGAAACATGAACTCTCTATTACACAGTACAACAGTGACAACCATTAATCACGCCCCCTTTTTTTGGTGAAATACTACTGTGTATTGGCGTTTACATTTATATCCACAGATAATTTCGAAAATGTATTTCTTGATAACTACTCTTATTTGATAGATATTATCGCTGACTTAGAATATTTTATGTAGTTATAAGTACGACCCATGTATTACTGGCCTTCCGTCGCTGCCACCTGAATTAGATTTCCTTCCCAATATACATGTTAACGAACACAAAATCACGTTTGTCACATTCTTTTAGCTTAATTCTCTGTCTTATTTTATTTTCTTGTGTTGTTTTACTTTAGTTCTATTTCTCGTTTTTGTAACTTTACTATGGAACCTTTATATACTGTATTAGCTTAACAAGAGATTTCAAGTGTATTTCCGCGAATAATACACAAAAGAAACACCTATAAAGGACAACAAAAGATTAGTACGTAAAATAGTCTCCGATCAAAAATTGGATCATTTATTCACTTTATTCATCGGTTTACATAATCGAAAGTCTTATATATTAATAATTCTGTGAAATTTGATATTATCAAAATTTCATTAACGTTAGTGACAGAATGTTTGACATTCAGGTTTTCCATACTGAAATATACACAGCATAAAACTTTATAAACGTAGTCTTGATTCTGTTAGCAATTCTTTGACAAATTCAAACACAGCCAATGAAAAGAAAACATTTTTGAGCTAGTCTTCAATCAAATTGCCTGAAAATAGTACATTAACAATATATGATTAACTAAAAAACAGTTTCAATTGGTAATGAAATAAATCAAGATAAAAAGATTAAACGTAATTCCTCATTTCATCGTGGAGATAATTAAACTAGGCATCATTAAAGCTACGTATACTAAAATATTAAAACAAGATTAATGACAATTTTCGTTGACAAACAGTAATAATCACTTAATGAAATATACTTCTGTCAAAATTACATAATACAGGCACATTTTGAAACAAATAAATATATATTTCATTAGTAACAGGCACCACTTTTCCTTAACAGGCTTAGCTAAGGAATATAATCGTAATTATGGAAAGTTCTATTTTACTTTAAGATAAAAATCAACTTAAGTATTTACATTTTCTTGGTCAAACATAAGCGACATCTGACATTAAAATATATATAATCACAAACAGGCTGTGCTTATAAAAGAAAATTATTTATCGAATCACGTGCTTACTATTCAAAATAATTTTTTCTTGTAAACATGCTTAATTTGTTTTTTAATTGTTAATTAGATTAATATTGATATATTAATTAATTATAAGAGTCACTCAGTTATTTAAATGCAACTTTAAATGATTATATGGTAATGTGTTCTAAGGATAAGTGTGCAGTTTCATTCCTCCAAACAAATCTCAGTTTGCACAGTGGGTGAATAATCAACATGAAAGTTATGTGTTCTAAGGATAAGTGTGCAGTTTCATTCCTCTAAACAAATCTCAGTTTGTACAGTGGGAGGAATAATCAACATGAAAGTTATGTGTTCTAAGGATAAGTGTGCAGTTTCATTCCTCCAAACAAATCTCAGTTTGTACAGTGGGTGAATAATCAACATGAAAGTTATGTGTTCTAAGGATAAGTGTGCAGTTTCATTTCTCTAAACAAATCTCAGTTTGTACAGTGGGGGAATAATCAACATGAAAGTTATGTGTTCTAAGGATAAGTGTGCAGTTTCATTCCTCTAAACAAATCTCAGTTTGCACAGTGGGTGAATAATCAACATGAAAGTTCTTACAACTCTTGAACTTCGAAGTTCAGGGACAGTTGCAGACGCCATAACCGTAGGTTATATCGTTAAAACTCTCGAGAGTAACTTGCAGATGGTCCTTAACATTCCTGTTGCACTTGTTATTACTGTTGTTGTAGTCGACGGAGCGACATTTTGGATGTTCTAGACATTTATGTACACAAACTGAAGTACTGTTGATGTTGGATAAAGAGTCTATATTGTTTGAGCTTACTCTCTTGTTTTTGATTTCACTGAAGTACACTAGAGAGAAAAAGAAAAGGAACAAGTTCAATGTTAGTATATTATAATGTGTGTAAAACAATAAAATAGGCTGCATAACGAATTATTAAAGCATTATATCTGTATAGGTATTTCTGCAAGCTTGTGGGATTAACAACAGAATATGTCCGACACATAACTGTGTAAAAAATAAGTTGTACTTTTTTAAATTAATTTATCGAAAAATCATAAATTTTACTTTTCACATAAACTCTTTCACTGTCACGTTTATAACCAATTAAATAAGAACCCAAGTATTAGTTTTACAGTTTAAACTCCTCCCAGTGGCAGGTTTATAGATAAACAGCTCTCCCAGGGTCAGGTTTATAGATAAACAGCTCTCCTAGTATATAGTTTATAGATAAACAGCTCTCCCAGAGTCAGGTTTATAGATAAACAGCTCTCCTAGTATATAGTTTATAGATAAACAGCTCTCCTAGTATATAGTTTATAGATAAACAGCTCTCCCAGTGCCAGGTTTATAGATAAATAGCTCTCCCAGTGCCAGGTTTATAGATAAACAGCTCTCCAAGTATATAGTTTATAGATACATAGCTCTCCTAGTATGTAGTTTATAGATAAACAACTCTCCCAGTATATAGTTTAATTTAAACAACTCTCCCAGTATGTAGTTTATAGACATATAACTCTCCCAGTTTTCTAGTTTATAGAACGACAACTTTCCCAGGGCCAGGATTATAGATAAACAGCTCTCCCAGTATATAGTTTATAGATACACAACTCTCCCAGTATGTAGTTTATAGAACGACAACTTTCCCAGGGCCAGGATTATAGATAAACCGCTCTCCCAGTATATAGTTTATAGATACACAACTCTCCCAGTATGTAGTTTATAGATAAACAACTCTCCCAGTATATAGTTTATAGATAAACAACTTTCCCAGTATATAGTTTAA